GGGTAAGGTAATTAAGAGGGATATAAATTGGAGTACTGTTGGCTTATATGTTTAATTAATATATATTTTTTTAATTATTATGATGGTGGTAAGAGTGATTTAATATTGTTTTATTATTTGTAATATTTTTACTTCATAGTTCTTGTTATTATTGGGGGTTGTTATTATTATTACTATTATTATTATTATTATTAGTAGTAGTAGTAGTAGTAGTAGTAGTAATAGTAGTACCGTCTGTATCATTACTATCAAAATATCAGAGTAGAAAGAGAAATAGCACGCCAAAAGTCACCATGAAAATCTTCGTCATTCACTGCACGAGAAGAGAGTCGGTCGACCGGCGCCACTCCCTCACTCCTGACCTGCTGCCGTTTCACCGTGAGCCCATCTGACCTGCCTGCCCCACCAAAACACGCCACGACTTTTGACGGTCCGATCTTTCCGCCTCTCTCAACGGCAAACGTCTCCCGGGGTCTCTGCAGCTGTGAAATGATCGAGAAAACACGTTCCTTTGGTAAAGATGCATCAGGGAACGTTCACAACCAGTGCACCTTAGACCCAGAATATATACCAGGGTGGCATTTCTCGCCCAAGATGGTGGAGTTCCCCCTCTTACGCTGAGTTCCTTCTTACATTTTGGGGTTTCATATTCTTCTTCTTCTTCTTCTTCTTCTTCTTTCTCTCTGTCTTTCTTTTTTATTCCATTTGCCTTCCTGTTTATCTGTGGTTCTGTCTCTTTTCCTCCTTATTTCCGTCTCTTTGTCTGTCTGTCTCTCTCTCTCTCTGACAGTGAGTGTAGCCCCAGGGGTCACTGACCGCCGTGAGGGATAGAAGAATTCGTGGCTGTGTTTACCCTGAGTGGATTTTCTGTTCGGCTTTGGCCCTAAGCCGCCAGCCAGGGTAAGAAGCCTAACCTTCACTACCATCCACTGACTCGAGCTGTAATTTGCTCAGTCCACACACACACACACACACACACACACACACACACACACACACACACACCAACCTCGGAAGAACAGTCAAATGTTCTCCTCGTCGTTAACATATTTGCTGACCTCTTGATTTTTGACCAGAATTTAATCAGCCACTCACAGGTGTTTTGTGGGAGGGAGTCGGTGGTCGTTCGGTCACTCATATGAAAGACGTCCTAACAAAATACTGAAAAATGTCTTTGTTTAATCACAGTAGAGCAGAAGCGTTTGGGTGATGTCACTTTTGTTGTTGGGGGAAAATGAGGAAATTATGTTTTTTTTTCTTTGTTTTTTTTTAATTGTTTTTGTTAATGTTTATGTGTGTTTGTGTGATATTTATGTTTAACCATCCCTACACGTCTTCAGAACCCAGCCCATCCTAGTCCAACCCATCCCATCCTAACCCATCCCATCCTAACCCATCCCATCCTAACCCAGCCCATCCTAACCACGCCAGTCAAGTCCTTTGCAGCCAGCCTTCCTCCCTAACTACGTCTTGGTGGGGGTCAGCGTGCCCTGTGTGTGAGGTAGGAGTCCTGGGGGAGCGTTAAGGTGACTCAAGAGGTCCTGGACGTCTCGACAATGGCCCATAACACGCTGAAGGAGGAGGACCTTTACTCAGGAGATAATTATGGGGGGTTCAGTATAACACTTTGCTCTTGAGGTTGTGTTTGTGTTGAGGAGGAGGGTGAGGAGAAGGAAGGGTGAGAGAGGAAGGTGAGGGAGAAGGAAGGGGTGAGGGGAGAAGGGAAGGGTGAGGAGGAAGAGAAGGGTGGTGAGGGAGAGAGGAAGGGGTGAGGGAGAGACGAAGGGTGAGGAGAGGAGGGTGAGAACGAAGGGTGAGGGAGAGAAAGGGAAGGGTGAGGGAGAAGGAAGGGTGAGGGAGAAGGAAGGGTGAGGGAGAAGGAAGGGTGAGGGAGAAGGAAGGCTGAGGGAGAAGGAAGGCTGAGGGAGAAGGAAGGCTGAGGGAGAAGGAAGGGTGAGGGAGAAGGAAAGTAAGCTTCAAAGGAGTTAGTTGGTTAAGAGTGAAGGAGGAAAGGGGGACTAGAGGGGAAAGAGAGAGAATAAGAGACAGAAACTAAGAGAAAGAGAATGAGAGACAGAGAGAAAGATGGAAAGATGCTCACTCAACCTTTTCCATCTTCTCTTCCCACCCCCTTTCTTTTCCATTCGACACATCCTTCTCCTATCCCTCTTAATACTCCTCCCACTCACCCTCTTCCGTTCGCCATGGTCTACCACCCTTTTCACTACCCCTTCCTCTCGCCCTTTTCCATCATTCCCCCCACTCACCGTGTTCTACCCTTTCCATCACTCACTCTCTTCCGCCACCACCCCTCTCATCATCCCTCCCTTCACTCATCCCCGTTCCACCACTCATCCCATCACCCACCCCATCACTCATCCCCGTTCCACCACCCCTTCCACCTCTCCCAGTAGTTGGTTGTCCACACTGACAGTAACATATTCAATTTTCTGAGTCAGTAAACTGATTCTCCCTTTCCGACTCTAGTGCCAGACCTCCTCAAGTCTACCCCATGGCCTGCACGAGTGTTGGAGATGTAGTGTTGGAGATGTGGTGTTGGAGATGTTCTTTTGTTGGAGATGTAGTGTTGGAGATGTAGTGTTGGAGATGTGGTGTTGGAGATGTGGTGTTGGAGATGTAGTGTTGGAGATGTGATGATGGAGATGTAGTGTTGGAGATGCGATGTTGGAGATGGAGTGTTGGAGATGGAGTGTTGGCGATGGAGTGTTTGAGATGGAGTGTTAGGGCGTTTTATTGAAGATGAGATTCTCTCTCTCTCACACACACACACTCACACTCATCCATACCCTCAATCCGACAAACAATAAACACACTCACTTGCCCGTCATGAACTCAAGTGTCTCACGGACTCTCCTTGTCCTCGCCAAGTCCATCTGCGGAAGTAATCTTGTAAGTGAAACTGAACTGAGTGCCTTATGCGTAATTACTGACGGTAAGCGTGAGTATACAGTCATATTCTGTATTATGTGAGTGTAACTGTTTGGTTTAAGAGACTGGATAGAGGGACGTGTTAAAACTAACTGTATGACTGTGATTCTAAATATACAGTTAAAATAAAATGGAAGTTTAATATAGTGAGTATAACTGTTGACTTTAAAAGACTGGTCAGAGAGAGATACGGATTAAGACTAACTGACTGACTCACTAACTGACTCACTGACTGACTGACTAACTGACTGTAGTGTTAACAAAACGACAACACCAAACACATCCTTAGATACATTTAACACAACATCGTATTTACAACAGCATAAAATTATATTCACTCTTGTTCCCACATAAACTATTCTATTTCTGGTCTAGTGTTAATGAAATATTGACACATTTACAATATGGGATGTCAGCCGTGCATGTCACATTGTGCAAACGCTTTACAAACGACTCGTCAGCCACCATATTAAAAAAAATGATTTATTCTCTAACGTTAATATCTGATATGAATAAGCGTACACTTTATTTTTTTATTATTTTTTTATTTTTTTTATTTTAGTGGGTATCGTATAGTCATCCAGCATAACATCTGCTTTTTTTTTGGCTAACCTGACTGATAGATGTTGTTTTTTTCACAGGTGAGGGATATTTTTGGTTTATTATTGTAGTTAAAACGCGACCATGAACGCTTCTTGGTTATCGTTGTTGTTGGTATCGAGTATAATGATCGTTATAGTCAGGGGGAGATGTTAATTTACTTTTATATAACTAAGATTTAAGTCTTTAAGAACGATGGTTTAAGCTGTAATTTTCGACGGGTTTAACCATCGTTCTCAAAGGATGAAAGAAGTTTTGAAACATCCTCTGCCGCTGATGTGTGACAAGGACTCCCCAGTTAGGAGTGAAGGAGTAAGGAACGCCAGGATATTAATATCTCTTTGAAGTTTACACCAAAAAATCTTCGGGGATCATCTTGGGCGTCTTCTGAGGTTATGCTCCCGAGTCGTCCCACATAAGAGCTAAACATTAATAACTCGCTCATATATTAATATCTCTTGGGAGTTTATAAAAAAGAATTCTTGTTACATTACTGGGACGATCACACAGAGGCAAGGGATAGTTCAATGTGGGTCCCATAGTGATGACGGCCCGTTGGGGACAGTGTGGATAAAACATATTGTATATTAAGCCTTCGTTACACAAAGAGGAGATCACGGATATAACGCTCGCCTCCTGGTTCGATTCCCGGGTGCCTCCAGTTCACCCAGCTGTAAATGGGTACCTAAGTGAAGGTGGTGGCGTGTAGTACCGGCCATGCTGACTCCTTGTGTACTGAAGGCTTAGTATACAGTGTGCTGCATCCACACAGTCTCTAACGAGCAGTCATACCAATGGGAACCTCTTTCAACTATATCTTGCTTCTCTGTGTGTTGTACAACAAGCAACAGCCTTCTATCCCCCACCTGAAAACTACAGCTAGGTGGAGTGAGATTATCCCGGGATCGAACCAGCGAACCTTAGGACTGAGACGAGCGCTGTATCCACACGACCGCCGCTTCTCACAAAGGATAATTATAGCAGCCTAGATTATTTATACATCACAGGAGATCATAACTTGAACGCTTGATATATAATCGGGTCCCGCTTGATTAGTGGTGAGTGAAGTGGTCACGGTGGTGGCACCGGGTGATGGGTCAGGAGAGAGGTGATAGTGACAGTGATGATAATGGTATTGATGATGGTAGAGGTGATTATGGTGGTGGGTGGTGGTGGTGGTGGTGATAGTAGTTGTGATGGTGGTTTGGCTAGGGGGGTGAGGTCGGCACAGGAGGCTGGAGGTAGTGGTAGATGTAAGGAGGCCAAGGGAGGGTTGACTGCAAAGGGTGGTGGATGTAGTATGGTGCCACCCCACCCCAGGCATAGTGCCAACAAACAGGTGGCCGGCCTGTAGAGGGGCGGGCGATGATTGGATGGGGTGAGGGGGTGGCCCCGCCCCATAGTGACGGAATATCATAAGCGTGAGGCGTTGGCGAGGTCGACGTGGACGGTGCTCGTGCCGCCCTCCCCTCACTTACCTCTCGACCTCCTGGTGGGCCCGCGGCAGCAGAATGACCTTCTGGCAGGAGAACTACGGCTTCGTGAAGGAGGTGTATGACTTCCGATGTTCCAAGTACCTGGAATGGATGGACAACATTGAGGCCATCATCGGGAAGGTGATGGCTAACACCCAGTACACCGCCAAGGAGTTCAAGATTATCAAGGATACCTTCACTGTAGGTAACAGAGTGCATAGCGCCCCTAGAGGTCCTTACATAGCGCATGAGTAGATGACGGGGCTATGTAGCGGTGCACGCTAGCGGTAGTCACAAGAAGGTGCGAGAGTAGCCACAAGTAGCGACTCCAATACTTGTGTTGAAAGCATGACGAGATTAAGTCACACACACACACACACACAGGCGGCGTCCCCTACCCGAGTGCAGTTCTCTCTCAGTGTCGTGCCAACACCACCAATATCAGATGTCATGAGGGATTGTGTATGTTAATATTACATATGTGTATCACCCAACATTACATATGTGTATCACCCAACATTACACATGTGTATCACCCAACACTGCACATGTGTATCACCACAACACTACATATGTGTATCACCACAACACTACACATATGTAACACCACAAAACTACAGGCATGTATCACCCAACACTGCAACACTATATATGTCACACCAATACCCCAGAACAAACCTTCACTATATCTGTTACAACACACAGACGCCCCACAGTTATAAACCTGACCTCCAGCCCTCGCCCTGCACACTGCCTCACCAACACGTACAGTATATCATCTCAACCACTAAACTTACATCACAAATTTCCATCCATTATGAAACACCTTCACCTCACACTGACCACATCACCACAACATAACAGTAGTCACCACAACATAACAGTAGTCACCACAACCACTCACTACACCTACCACCTCTCACAGTACCAAGGGGAGCCACTTTGCCTTCACTAGTACCAAAAATACACTATTTCATATTTCTCTCACAAATTCCCATTAGATTTAAATCCAGTTCACTACAAAGATAAACAGTACAATGTTTAAAGAGCTCCTCCCTATCACACCAGCTATAAAAGGTTAATGTTTTGATATTGTGTAAATACTTCCACGTGTGTCCTTCACAAAGTAAACAAAGGGGACGCTCGTCTAAACACACACATGAGAAGGGGATCAAATCCTCTAATAAAGTTTGGGTAAAGGATCAGCTGACACAGAGACACAGCCCAATCCCCTACCCAGTGTGTTTTAAGAGAATCACAAGGAGTCTAGATGTGGTAGAGAACAACAGATATCACCCAAGTCTTTTTTCAGCAAAGTAAAAAAATAAGATTCATGTGGTGTGTTTATTTTGTAGTAAATCAACATAAATTAGTAAATACAGAGTGTCATTTTTATCAGTAAAGCCACAAAAATTGGCATTGTACAAAAATCATCGTTTGGATGAATATGATATTTGGTTCACTTGTCGTATGAACATTACAGAGGAAGACTTACCCAGTCTTAAGTTCATAAAATGACCTCTGTACTGATACACATGTGGCATTACTGATAAGGATAACAGACAGTTGACCTGGTAGAGAGAAAACCAGACAAAAGACGAACTGGAAATAGATGTTGAGAATAAACAGAATCACCCAGGAGAATAAACTACTGTATTACCTACACGATCAACATTATAGGAACAAGACCAGATGTACTGTACCTGTTATTGATTGTTTACCTGTGTACTCAAGACGAAACAAAATACAGTGATGATTACCTGAGATACTGATAAAAAAAATACGTTCTGTGGATGTACTTTCTTCGCCTGCGGTTACAACAACAAGTGAAAAAAAATAGCACGACGGGGGAAAAAGGTCACAAAGGAGGGTATAGTTGAGGCGTGAAAGCAAACAGTGATCAGTGTTAACCCGGCGAGACTGAGAACCAGAGCCACAAGTGTCATTCAGTGGGTGAACAGTGCATCAACATGATTGCTGGAACAAACACAGAAGAAAAAAAATCCCAAAACAGAAAAAAAAACTTCTCAGACACAGGAAATAAAACTTTTTTCCCTGAGAGACGCGGAAGAATCCTCAAAGGTTCTTATGAAAAGATGTTGTCGGTCCTCGTGCAGGTGTGAGAACCCTCCTACCTGACTCACCTCACCTGACACACACACACACACACACACACACACACACACACACACACACACACACACACACACACACACACACACACACACACACACACACACAGAACGACGAGCCAAAATGGTTTCGAAATTACACAGAGACTCTACTGTAACTAGATACGCTTCGTCAACACCAAAATGGAAGAAACTAACTCAGAGCCTCAGTATGTGGACCCAATATAACACACAGACTCTACCGTAACTTATGAGTCTTTGAGTATCTGGATCTAATGTTATTCGCATACGCCGTGATGCTGTACCTTCGTCACTCGGTATGTGGAGTGACCGTCATGCTGTACTTCCGTCACTCAGTCACTCAGTATGTGGAGTGACCGTCATGTTGATGTTGTACCTCCTTCACTCAGTATGTGGAGTGATCGTCATGTTGTACTTCCGTAACTCAGTATGTGGAGTGACCGCCATGTTGATGCTGTACCTCAGACACTCAACCGACTTTCTGCTTATGATTTTACTAAACTTGGTGAGGCAGGTAACGAGACAGGCAGTTCCCACCTGGTTTTTAGTACCCAAACACCTCAAGTTTTTACCGACAGTTTTTCCCTCGTTAAGTTTTTTGTCATTTTTTCTTTCACCTTTTAATTTGTTTCCTTGTTCAGTGTTTTTTTTTCATAATTTTTAGTTCGTTTTAGTTTAGTTTATTTCGTTTTTTCATAGTTGTTTTTTTTTTGCATTTTATTATTATTCATGTTTTCATTATTAATTTTATCCATTTTTTTTTATTTGGTGGTTTTTTTATCGTTTTATGGTTTTGTCAACAACAATCACGACAACAACGACAGCAACAACAACAACTAAAACAACAACAACAACTAAAACAACAACAAACATAACAAAATTAATAAATATCAACAACAACAACAAAAACTACAGCCACTAGATAAACACTAAACACAACGAAGACAATACAACAACAACAACAACAACAACAACAACAACAACAACAACAACAACAACAATAAGAGAACAAATGAAACAGCAACAGACGAACACGACCCCCCCCCCTCCCCCGACACACACACGCTGGCAGGATAACATAAGTGTCATGGCACGAGTAATGTATGTCATGGCACCGTACATGGTTAGGGGTGGTGGGTGTCAGGAGCTATTATGGCACCTCAGCGGCAATATGACACCACCACCTGTCACTTCCTCCCACAATCCGTTTTCTGTGACTAGCTTGTGGAGGAAGGGGGAGGGAGAGGAGGAGGAGGAGGAGGAGGAGGGGGGAGTGGGAGGAAGGTGAGGAGGAGGGAGAGGGTGAAGATGAGGGAAGGGAAGAGGAGGAAGAGAAGGGGAAGGAGGAGGGAAGGGAGAAGAGGAGGAGGGAAAGAGGAGAGAGAAAGGATGATGTCACAGCCACCACAAGCCGCTACCAGTTCTTAATGGACTTGAGACAGAAATATTGCCAACGTTGTACCTAACTATTATACGTGGTGTATACATGCTGAACTGTATACCTGCATTGTTTATATACAGTGAGAATGATGAATGGCAGTGATTGGAAGGAGAGTCTGTCTGTCTGTCTGTCTGTCTGTTTGTCTGTCTGTCTATCTGTCTCTCATAGTTACAGGTAGAGTTACTCCCGTTTTGTCAGAGATTAATGGAGGCATCGTCTCTCTCTCTCTCTCTCTCTCTCTCTCTCTCTCTCTCTCTCTCTCTCTCTCTCTTCTAACCTAAACATTATGGAGAATTACAATACGTTGGAGAATATCGCCATCTTGGCTATTTTCCCCCGCGAATTATAGCCAACAAAGGTCGCTCTACCCCAAGCTGTCCTCACTATTGGGTGAACCAGATTCTTCTTCCCCCCCTCCTCCTCCCTCTCATTTCCTTACCCCTTCCCCTCCTTCCCTTCCCCTCCTCTCACCTTCCCTTCCCCTCACCCTACCTCCCCCTCCCTTCCCCATCTCTCCACCCCCTTTATTTCCCTGTTAGGGGGCGACGCAGGTGGGTTGAATCTGTTACACATGGTTCCTTTCCACTCTGAGCACCGTTGTAAATACCGTTAATAGCCGTTGTCTCTGTTACATATGGTCTCTGTATCAACCAACAGAGGCGATGTACGGCTGTGTAATCATGGCGTCTTTAATATTATTTTTATTTTTATTTTATTTTTTCTGAAGATGCCAATTTAAACACGACAGGCGGATCTGGGTCAAAAGTTGTAGGTTTGTTTTATTTTTGTTTGTGTGTGTGTGTGTGTGTGTGTGTGTGTGTGTGTGTGTTTTTCGGAAGTGCTCATTACCCTCTGACAAAGAAATTACAGACTTGCTGGTGGAAATAAGTTTAGCCAAAATCATCACACAAAATTACATTGATTCAGTATGTATAGGCAATTCAGTTATACATTACACATATACAATACAGATTATACAATATACATATACAGTACATGTATATAAAACAATTTACTGACTTTAATTAATAAGTGTTGGAAAATATGTAGTAATGTGTTGACGTGAAGTTGATGCCAAAATTCCTTTACGATCCTGACCTCTATTTCTGGGTCATAATACCATTCATTTTATAACTATTGAACGATATATTTCACTATGAAGTATATCAGAATTAATTACTAAAAAAAAGTTTAATCCCAAGAAAAATCTGAATAAATTAATGTTTTTTATTACGAATTATTTTATCTACGTCATCCCCTAAATAAAACAAGTTAAATATTGTCAAAAGTTTCCAGTCAATTGTGTCGTCAAATTTAACCTTATCTGGAAATTACTATCACCGTCCATTGGTAAATTCCGTGTTATAATTTATATAGAAAATATTTAAATACCAAGTAAGATCAAATATGTTGTTTACACACACCAGAGGTAATGTATTCCCTCTGTCTGATTGGTGGAGACGGTACAGCTTCAACCAATTAAAATTCCTCTCTATATTTGGCTTCCTTAGATCAAGTAAACATATGTGTGTAGTGGATGTCTTATGTGTCTCTGCAACATATGTGTGGGTATTATGGATGTGTCCTTCAGTAAATATGTGTCTGCA